CTCGACTCGGTGGCACCTGCAGGGGTCCCGCCAGGGACCCTTTGGAGACCGGGCTTCTCAGCCGGAAGGGCCCTCAGCCTCCGAGAGCGGACTGACCCGCAGAGCGCCCTGCCCCCCATGTCGCTCCCACGCTACTTGTTGGCTCCCCCAGCGTGCTAGACAGAGACGTAAAGTAGGTACAAACCAAGACCATGTAGGATCCCGCAGTCAATGGACCTGATCAAGCAAGAAAGTAAAAAAACCAAAAACCCCCAAATAACAGAAACTGATCGGGGACCTCGGGCTCCCTGAGCTGCTTCACATGCACATGGCTGCAGCCAGGCCTGAGCGTGGAGTGGCACGTCCGTCTCCGCCGAGGGTGTGATGTGGGCAGGACAGCCTGGCCGACCTGGGCTAGTGGGTAGGAGACGGCTGCATCCAGCCGACACCCCGATTCCTGCCCCTCCATCTGCCGGCCCTAGAGATGGCGGGAGGGCAGACTGAGGCAGAGGGCCTTTGGGGTGGAAATCCTTGTTCTGCCCCCGCGGCCTGGCTGTTGAGACGTAGGAATTGTGAACACTGTGCTGTGAGACACAAAGGACAGGCGGGAAGGGCAGGAAGTGACTGGGAGAGACGGGTCGTGTTTAAACCCGAATTTCGTTTGAATGGGTAGCTCCCTCCTAGGCTCACAGGGGCACAAACCAGATCATGCGCCCCCCAACCCTATGAGCACAAAGGGGCCATGAAATATAGGGTGTCCCAAAATTCACGCAAGAAGTAATTTTGATAGAAAACACAGGTTTATAATTAAAAATTGTAAATTTTTTATTGATTCATAAAGCAGACAGTCTAGGGTTACATATGGAATAGCACATTGGGTCCATGGCCTCCACGGCTTTGCTGGCACAGACTGAAGGGGTTGACATCAAAGGGCAACAGATATTAGAATCTGATTCAATAAACCAAGTAAAATTAGGCTTTTATTTATTTTTTTTTAAATATATTTTTATTGATTTTTTTACAGAGAGGAAGGGAGAGAGATAGAGAGCTAGAAACATCGATGAGAGAGAAACATCGATCAGCTGCCTCCTGCACATTTCCCACTGGGGATGTGCCCGCAACCCAGGTACATGCCCTTAACCGGAATCGAACCCGGGACCCTTCAGTCCGCAGGCCGACGCTCTATCCACTGAGCCAAACCGGTTTTGGCAGGGCTTTTATTTTTTTGTTGTTGTTAATGCTCACACAGAGTTCCAATCGTGCGTGAATTTTGGGACACCCTATACAACAGCGTAGACGTGTGTACAGTAGCCGTGTGTGCAGCCTTCCTATGGAACTGTCATGTGCTGTGTGAGTGTGAGGAGGGGAGCCCTGCTTAGCTTGCAGAGCTGCGTGGCCCGGAGTAGGAAGGGTGGGGCGTGCCGCTCCGATGGGGCCCTGACCCAGCTCTGGCCGCAGGAGCCAGATGGCCGCCGTCCTGCGGAGCCCTCCGGCCCTGCAGCTCACCCTGGCCCTCATCAAGCCCGATGCCGTCGCTCACCCGCTGATTCTGGAGGTAAGAACGGATCTGTGCCTCTCGGTGTGCACGGGGCCGCTCAGTTCCAGGTGCCAGCGGCCGCTTGTGAGCGCCGACAGCGTGGTCCTGGGCCAGGGTCCGCGGAGGCAGAGCCGGGCGCGGGGCAGATAGAAAGCAGAAGACGCACCAGCACAGTCACCCAGGAGCCCCCCCTCAGGACAGCGCGTGGGTGTCCATTCTCTGCTGCTGCAGAGCAGTCGCCATGGAGGTAGCAGCTCAAAGCAGTACCTCCTTCGCCTTTCACGGCCCTAGAAGGGGCGGGACAGGGGCTTGGCTGGGTCTTCATCTCACAAGGCCACAGTCAAGGCGGAAGCTGACTGGGCCCTTACCTGGGGCGTCTGGGCAGGACCCACTCCCAAACTTACTGGGGCTCCTGTGGTTGCAGGACTGAGACCACCATGTCCTTGCTTTTTTTTTTTTTTTTTTTTAAATATATTTTGATGGATTTCAGAGAGAGAGAACCATCAATGATGAGAGAGAATCATGGATCGGCCGCCTCCTGCACGCCCCCTATTGGGGATTGAGCCTGCAACCCAGGCCTGTGCCCTGACCGGGAATCGAACCCGGGACCCTTCCGTCCGCAGGCCGATGCTCTTTGCACTGAGCCCAGCCGGCCAGGGCTCCATGTCCTTGCTTCTAGGCAGGACGCTCAGCCTCTAGAGGCCCCTCCCTCCTCCTCAGACGGCCGCTCCATCTTCAGGTCAGCGTAGGGCAGCGCGGGCTTCTGCTCTCTCCGGCTCCCCGCCAGCTCCCACAGGCACAGCTCTGCCTTTAAAGGTCAGATTCATCACGCGATGCCTGAGGCCCGTCTGGGTGCTCTCCCTCTTGATTAAAGCTCAGTCAGCTGATAGCGCCCTGCATCCCACCCCAGAGCCCCGGGTCTGTCATGTGACAGACGCGTTTTGCACGGCGTCCACGGTCCTGGAGGTTTGGGGGAGGCTCGTGCCCGCATCCAGCCTCCAGTTAGTAAGTCGTCGCTGGCAGCCCTGGGTGAGCCCTGTGGTGCCAGCAGGGGGTCTGCAGGTGTT